TCTGTGTGCTGGGTTTAAACATCTCTTTGCATTAGAAGGCCACACTGCACCCAAAGATGTCTGTGTATTTCTTTTGTCCAGACCAAGTCTGCTCCCTATAGATCAAGGCCAAATCCAACTATTTTAACCCAAACATTTTGGCATCGTTCAGTTCACACTAACTTTATTTTACTTTTTTTTCCCCCAGCCTCCTTTTTATTGCCGAGATGTTGCTGAAATGTATGACAACATTCTGCACAAGCCCCTAAATCTGAGGCCAGGAGTGAGCCTCACAGCCTGGTCCATTCTGGAAGAACTCCTAGAAAAAGACAGGCAAAATCGGCTCGGTGCCAAAGAAGACTTTGTATGTATATCTCTCCCACTGTGTTTAAGCTTATTTATCATTGGAAGATAGAGCCTTATTTTATGTGGTATTTGATGGGATGAATACAGCTCTTAAAGAAGAGCACCATGACAACGCGTAACTTGTCCCAACAACTTTCACCACTGTTTATATATACAGAACTATACAGGGTCTGAGCACTTGCATCCTTTCAATTGATCTCTGTAACAGTACTGTCCTCTCCTCTTCGTCTGTCACATCCAGCTTTCACACTCTTATTATTTATTTGATTTTTATTTATTAAAATTTTTCTCCTCGCCCTTCTTTTTAAAGAATTTTTGATTACCTGAACTTTTAGATCATGTTGTTTAACAAGAGTCTAAGTCCTTCCTGACCACATGAGGTGGTGCAATTTATCTTGAACCAACGTGAAATCACTTTTTTCCCCCTGAGAATTTGGTGATACTTCTTTGAGATAGTTATGGAGTCTGTGGGTTTGGTTTTTGTTGTGTTTTTTTAAGCAGGGTAATTAGATTGCTAGTGTAACTTGTTATCTTAGTGTGTCAGTATTCAGGAACTGTTGAGGAATAGGAACTTGTAAGTTCATTTAAATTTCTCAGAAATACTTTGGGGCTGTTGGCCAATTTGAACTTGAGCTGTGAATAACAAACTTGTCTGCTACTGATCTTCTCCTCCTACGCGTCCCAGTTCAGCAGACGGCTCTGTCAACAGTTCTCTACCCAGCTGTGATTCCCGTCTGCTGTTTCAGTCAGTCTTGCTAATACTTCACACCTCCGTGCCCCGTGGTTCTTTTATTGAATTCAGAAATCGCAGCCCTGGATGAATTCAGGTGTCATCTCTGGGTTGCTGTTCGTTGGTGGAGAAAGTTTCACAACTGGGCTAAACTTCCTGTGTGTGTGTGTGTGTGTGTGTGTGTGTGTGTGTGTGTCTCTACACTAACAAGAAATCTTTGGACACCAGTAAGGTGACACAGTTTTTAAGTAAATGTTTATAATGAGATGTTTATAGCCACTCACGAGGCCTTTTTGGTCTTCTGGGAGGAGACATGGAGGAGGAGGTGTCTGTGATTCTAGCAGGAATTATTACACAACAAGATTTCAATGAGTGTTTAGAAAGAACCAAAGAGGAGGAAGCACTTTGTAAGGTAAAACTGATCACACAAATTAAAACTTAGTACAGTGGAGGGAAACTTGGTAAGTATGTCTAAGTTAAGTGTTCTTCACTCCGAAGCATTTGCTACTGAAACCGGCGTTAACATGAAAGAGTTCCTGGTAGCAATTTTAAGGTGTGTGTGTGTGTGTGTGTGTGTGTGTGTGTGTGTGTGGTGTGTGTGTGTGTGTGTGTGTGTGTAGGCCTCCCCACAGCAACAAGCAACTCTCAGACACCAGAATTGATAGTGTCCACCCTGACACTATCTTCTCAGAGACAGAATCACATTCCATGAGTAAAGGGCTCAGTCCCACAGGACAGCCCTCCATTTCCGATGCTAGTCACAAGCCCAGGTTGTTACCTGTGCGTCCGACAGACGGCTATAAATCAGGGGTTCCCATGACCCCTCCTTTGGTTCAGTTAATTTGCTAGAATGGCTTCCTGAATTTAAGAAAACCCATGCACTTACTAGTTTACCGAATTACTATAAAACGGGTATGGCTTGTTCACCTCTTGAGCTTTACCTCCTGTGACCGTCCCATTTTTCCCTGTACTGCAACGATGCTGGACTCTCATTTTCTTGACCAAGCTAAGCTCTTTGCCACTGCAGGGCCTTCATAGTCTACCTGCATTGTTCTCCCCTCATTCTTTTTTTTTTTAATTTATTGGGGTGACATTGGTTAATAAGTTCTATAGTACATCATTTGTATATTGCACTGTATGCTCACCACCCAAAGTCTAGTCTTCCTCTGTCATCATATCTTTGACCCCTTTGTCCTCTTCCTCCTCCTACCCCCCCATCACCTCTGATAACCACCCTTCTGGTGTCTGCATCTAAGAGTTTGTTCATTTGTCTCCTTTTTGTTTTGTTTCCCACATACCTCAGTCTTTAGCTAATTCTTACTCATCTTTCAGAGTTCTGGTCAGACATCACTTTCTCTAAGAAATCTTTTTAAACCACCAAACTAAGTTGGATCCTACTTTATACACTTGTGTGGCACCCTACAGGGGAAAAAAGCTGGAATCAGTTCTTTTTTTTTTTTAAATATATTTTATTGATTTTTTACAGAGAGGAAGGGAGAGGGACAGAGAGTTAGAAACATCGATGAGAGAGAAACATCGACCAGCTGCCTCCCGCACACCCCCCACCGGGGATGTGCCCGCAACCAAGGTATATGCCCCTGACCGGAATCGAACCCGGGACCCTTGAGTCCGCAGGCTGACGCTCTATCCACTGAGCCAAACCGGCTTCGGCTGGAATCAGTTCTTTGCCAACTTTTGATAGTAGCAACTCAGAGCGGAATACTTTAAATTTGTAGTAAAGTTCATCACCTCGGTTTTACCTCTGTCCTACAGTGTAAAACACCCTTGCTTAGCATCTTACTCACCTCCCCCATTCAGATAATAATTATTATTATCTGTACCTATGTAGTACTTTCATCTTTTTATACCACTCTTATTTTTATATTCTCCATTTATCCTTAAAACAACCTGTTAAGTATCTAAGGTAGAAATGTCAGCTCTGTTTTACCTATGAAGAAACTATGATAGTGAAGAGGATAAAGTGTGCCATGTGTACTCAGGTAGTCTTTCTGCTATACCACTTTGCCACATAAATAACATAAACATGTATCTAAAAGGAACTATTGAGGAACAAAATGGTGGTGGTTTGGTTCCATAAAATTCTTCAGTGAGTACTTAATATATTCTTCAGCATTAGTTTAAAATGTATTTTTTTCTTTAATATTCTAGCTTGAAATTCAGAATCATCCCTTTTTTGAATCACTCAGTTGGACGGACCTTGTACAAAAGAAGATTCCACCACCGTTTAATCCTAATGTGGTAAGTATATATCCAAGTTCTTCCTTCTAAACTAGTGAAATGTAGAACTGTAGCTCATCATAATTTTAGGAAAGATCTCAAAATCTAACCTGAGTGAAATTGAATCAGTACGTAAATATATGTGAAATATGTCACTTCAGGATGAGCAGTAAGATTATAGTTTTTATTAGACTGATAAAAAAAATCTTTCAGTACAATAATTGTGAAGTATTTGTAGATTGACTTATTTCATTTAGCTCATTCAGGACTGACTGTTTCAGACATGGCTCCATTAGGGACAATTTCTGCTCCTTATTTCTAGCGTTTGCAATAAGAACCTTGGATCTTTAAGAATAATTTAATTTTTCTCTTTAAATTAAGAGTCCACTGAGTTTAGTTATTTGCAAATAAATGTGTCATCCGATACATTAAAGAGTTAGGGATTCCTCCTAAGCAACCCTGGAAATGGCAACAGTGTTGACGTCAGAGTCAGACACCTCCAGGTTTGGATCCCTGCTTGTTCTATGACTAATTAGTTAAACTTTTTAAAGCAAGACCCACAGCTCAGAAGCCATAAGAGAAAAAAATTGGTAAATTTGACCACATAAAATTTAGAAATATTTGCATGAAAAAAAACTGCAAATAACAAACTGGGGGAAATTTCCTTAGTACATAAAGCATTCTTATGTCAATGAGGAAAAAAAAAAAAAGACCAAGCATGGACAAAGGACAATTTTGAAAAATAAATACAGGTATCTTTTAAATATATGAAAAGATGTTGAAGGAATGCAAAATAAAATCCTTACCGGTTTTTTTCACCTAATAGATTAACAAAGATCAAAAAGTTATCTATACTAGAATAGGGTAGATATTCCCATTCACTGTTCTCAATACTTGTATTCTTTTACTTAACCCTGACAACAATCCTATGAAATAGTACTGTTATTTTACACCATACTTCTGATGAGTGAACTTAAGCACAGAAAAGGTTAAGTAACTTGTCCACAGTTTAATGAAAGTTGCAGAACTGGAGTTTGAAGACAGAGCCTTCCCTCACTCTTAACATAAGAAATACGGTATTGTCCCTGACAGTATTAGTCATGAGCCATAAGGGCATTCTCAAAATATTTATAAAGTCAGGCAAGAGAACATTTATTGAGCACCTTCTACATCTCAGATTCTGCGAATTTTATGTATTAACGCATCAAATCCTTACAAGTTTAACAGACAGGTGGCAGGATTCTTATTTTACACAAGAGGAGACAAGCTTTCCTCTTACAGAAGAAATAGGGTAGGTTATATAAAGAATTCTAGCTAGCAAAACTCATAGCCAGAATTCAAACCTTAGTGTTATTTCAGAACCCCTGCTTTCTAAGGTTATATGTAAGAATTTGGTGACTTTTTATATACATATATATAATTTCTAGTGTCTATTTTCCTCTGTGGTGGAATTTCTCATGTAGAAGGATAGAGCATTCTGAGTTTTCCTGGCTTCTGCTCTGCTGTTTGTAGACCTACCAGGCTAACTATATCCTTAGCTTATAATAACTGCTCTGAATCCCTATCTGTTCACCTCAGTTAGACTTGGTGAATTGAACTATTTTTAAAAATATATATAATTTTATTGATTTCAGAGAGGAAGGGAGAGGAGGAGAGAGATAGAAACATCAATGATGAGAATCATTGATTGACTGCCTTCTGCACGCCCCCTGCTGGGCATCGAGCTTGCAACCTGGGCATGTGCCTTTGATCAGAATCGAACCCAGGACCCTCAGGCTGATGCTCTATCCACTGAGCCAAACCGGCTACGGCATGAATTGAGCATTTTAAAGCTTCCCTTTCTCTTAGAGTAGAGCTAACTAGAGTTTCAGGGATGGGCTTTAACGGTGAATCACCTCAACTTGCAACCCAATTTTATCCGTACATACATTGGAAGGGGATAGGCCATTCGCTTGTGAAAGAAGATTAAGAACCATTGCCTTTGAGCCTAAGCAGACACCATGCTTCGTGCTTCGTTTTCTAGTTTCCTGGTCCCTTTAGGCCTTTGGAGCTAAGGGTCTCATCACTGAATGTTTAGTGACCTCTGTGGCACAAGAGTCACCTTTCACAGTTTTACTTACAGTCCCTCCATTCCTTCATCAAAAGACTTCATTTGCCCTAGCCGGTTTTGCTCAGTGGATAGAGCATCGGCCTGTGAACTGAAAGGTGCTGGGTTCGATTCCGGTCAAGGGCACATGCCTGGGTTGTGGGCTCAATCCCCTGTGGGGGGCTTGCAGGAGGCAGCTGATCAATGATTCTCTCTCATCATTGATGTTTCTATCTCTCTCTCCCTCTTCCTTCCTCTCTGAAATCAATAAAAAAAAATATTTTTTTTAAAAAAAGGCTTCATTTACCCAAAGTTGAGAAACTGGATGGGCAGGCATTTAATGGGAGCTCAAATGCAAAATGCTGTTCTGAAAACCTACCTGAATCCTTTTTCTAAACTTAGAGGTGATGAGTAGAGAGCAGGTGGGTCGTTTGCAGGGACTGAGATTTATATTAACGTTGGTAAGGACTCTGATGTTAGCTCTCCTTACCCTTCCCTCTCCTCCCCGCACCCAACAACAAGTACCTTACCTGTTAGAAGGACCTCACCTAGGTAATAAAAGCAGAAAATGTTCCAAAGCAATGATGAAATAAGAAGACAGCTGAACTTGCCAGGAATCAATATACACATCCATGAAGGGTTTAATGAAGAACTAAATTCATGAAAAAGCTAAGGTGAATAATAGTATTTTTTTTTTTTTGGTGTTTTAGGCAGGACCAGATGATATTAGGAACTTTGATGCAGCGTTTACGGAAGAAACAGTTCCATATTCTGTGTGTGTGTCTACTGACTATTCTATAGTAAACGCCAGCGTACTGGAGGCTGATGATGCATTCGTTGGTTTCTCTTATGCACCTCCTTCCGAAGACTTATTTTTGTGAACATTTTGCCATCCGGGAACCATTGAGCAAATATAAACCTATGTACAGATGAGACTGAAATTCCTGTTTGTGTGAATATATTCAAATATGTTTAGTGCCTCTTTTTTATATATAATGTTAACAACTATGAAAAATGTATTTTCTGCTGTATGTAAGAAAATAGTGCGTTTCAAAGAGCTAACTTTGGAATTAAAATTTGTATTCTTGTTTATTAAGCTTATTTTTAAACAGAAATTTTAAAAGCTGTTGTTCTTAGCATTAACCTATTTTTAAAGAAAACTTTTTTGCAAATGACTGTTTTTTTTCCCAAGTTTACACTAACACCTACCCAAGATAGACTGTTTTTCAACTGCCTATTTCAGTTCAGTTAACATATATTAATGCCTTTGTAACTCTACTTTGATCTTTGTTCTCAGATCAGAACTATGCAATTTGTATGTGGTTGTTTAAGAAGAAACCATAACTGTCCATAAAAATCTCGGCTTGCCATAATCAGTCTTGGTAGGATTACAGTGTAAAAGCATAGTTAACACATTGGCTGCTAATTAACACTTGGAGTAACTGTTCGTTCCGCAGGTCAAATTAAAAAGTAACAAAAGGAGGCCCTGGCTGGGTAGCTCAGTTGGGTAGGGCATTGTCCTGATACACCAAGGTTGTGGGTTCGATCTCCTTCAGGGAATAACAAGAATCAGCCAATGAATACATAAAAAAGTGGATCAACAAGTCTCTCTTTTTCTCAAATCAATGAAAAGGAAATCCTTTGCTTTTGAAATACCAATTTAAATTCATAAATTATTTTTCTTCTGGAGTAAAAGTAAATATTTAATAGTTGACATTTTAAATACTCCCAAACATCTGAAGAGTAATAAAGTACTGCTGGATTTTTTTTTTTTTTAGGTGGTGCCAAAATGAATGTATCTGTCATGTATTTATATTACAAATACATTCTATTTATGTTCTTTTGGGCCTTTTGAATGTTCAATATACTGTTAAGTAGATCTAAATCTTGGTATTTAGTTTTGCAAATAGCTTTTCAAAACTGTCTCCCTAATTGGTTAAGAGAAAAATATTGAGCTTTCTAGAATATTTACTTAATTGGGAATTAAAAAGTAGAATAGCAAATTTGGGATTAATATAAATGTGCACAGATTTACTATAGTTTAACAGAAGTTAAAAATAATTCAGATAGATGCCTAGCATCTTATGTATCTTAGAAAAATGTATGGGAAATTGACCTTAAAGTCATAGTAAAAACCAACTAACTTGTGTACTTGTAATTGTAAAAGAATGCTTATCTTGGAATTCTGATTTTTAGTTTAGAGATTTTGTAAGTCATGTAGGAAACATTGTGAAAGAATTTAGTGACCCAGTTTAGATGCTTCAAGAACAAGCATTCTTTCCATGTGTTTTCTCTTGAGAAAGAAATCACAAAAGCATTTCACACCAATACCCTTTGGTTTACAAATGTTCAGCAGAATGGGGGAAAGGGGGTGTGCTTTTCTTAGATTAGTAATATTTGCATTCAATACACTGAATCTTCCTTTAGAAGTAAGACTTTAATAACAACACTGTAAATACTTGTTTTATTTGGTACTACTGTAAGTTCTCCTTTTATACAAAGCTCTTTGCTTATAAAGCAAAATAAAGACTAGTTTCTTGTATGATTTTTTTACTCAGCCACTCCTTAATTAAACTGCCAAAAATTCAAGTGCAATATTGTATATTTTTAAGAACAAATTTAAAATAGAATGTTGCTGTTTTTTGGATCTCAAAAAAATATAAGCCTTACAGAGTGTAATAAAACTAGCAAAAAAGATTCATGATCATCTAATGCCTGTCATTATTTTAAATTAAAATTGGTGATAGTTACAGTATCATAAAAAATGAATCATATATATATATATGGAAGACAAGTAAAATCTTACCTGAATAGTTGGGCATGTAAAAATTACTAGATTATTCCATATCCCAAGGTGATAATTCTTTCATTTGAGACCCTAAAGTGTACTCAGGTGAGTCTCAGGTGGCTTGAATACCTTAAAGTGATATATGCCAAGTTTTGTGTGTAAATGAAATCCACTTAGGGCAGGGATTGCTATGTGGCTTTGTTTGGATGCTCAAAAGGATTCACTGCTATAACATGATAGGCTTCCTTCGCTGCCACCTGTTCTTCTTTACTCACCTGACACTAAGAGAAATTGCTCTCCAACTTCCCTGAAAGCATTTCCATTGGAGATTTGTGTCATTTACTAATATTTAGCTTTTTTGTGTCTTAACCAATATTGTATCATCATCCATTTATAATGCTTTAAACATATTTTACTATTTCTTTACATTACACTGATTTTTGCGGAGATAAGTCAGAAAGAAATATAGCTGTCTTAAAATGTTACCTTTTAGGTATTCAAAGTCAGAATAGTGGAGAATAGCGTTGGTGGTATAGTGGTGAGCATAGCTGCCTTCCAAAATAGTGGAGAATAATTTAAAGCGATGTTACACAAAGAAAAAAGCCAATAGAGAAGTATAAGCTCAGCATGATATAGCAATAAAATAACCAAAGGGTCCTATACAAAAAAGTTAATTTTACATAATGTCTTGATAATGAAGGGTCACCATATGAATCTTGAGGATTAGTGTAAAACAGAATAGCATCACTGTACATGACCCCACTTATTGGAAGAACCAGACACAGTGATTTTTAGAAACCTTGCATGCAAACATGACTTGGGAGTTTTCCTGGTAAATTCTTCTTTGCGGGAATATATATCATGGATTCATCATTTCTTCTAATGTATTTTCATAATTTTTTTATTAGGGGACAGAGATTTCCCCTTCAATATTAGTTAACTCTTTGTGAGCAAGTCTATAATGAGTTGTCAGCATTTAAGTGTTTTTATGTCTATATTAACTCATGGAATCCAGAGGCTTATATACAGAAAAACACCCTCTCACATGGTCAAATTTGATCGTGTTGGATTTGTTCCGTCTTCCCAGATGGTAGGTATAGCCTTGCAGTGTTGAATTTTTTTTCTTCTGCCTCAATGATAATAATAGTGCAACAAGAACAGTTTGTTTACTGATGCATTGATGCTGAATGCTAGCAATTTATTCAGTACGATATCCCCTAGCAGTGTGCCTCAATCAGATATCAAAAATTAGATATCAAAAGCAAATAAACTGTTCTTGTTTGCAGATGAGTATCTTTGTAGATAATCCAATAGAACTTCTAAAAGTTCTGGAACTAATTAAGTGATTACAACAAGATTGCATCATATAAGGTTAATATACAAAAATCACTTTTCTTATATACCGGCAATTTGAAATTAAAGACACCATTTACATTAGCAACCCCCCCCCCAAGTATAAATCCTGATAAAATATGTGTAAGATCTATCTGAGGAAAACTACCTTCTCTCTGACAGATTTGCCTATTCTTGACATTTCATATAAACAATCACAATATTTGGCTTTTTGTGTCTGGCTTCTTTCGCTTTGCATAGTGCTTTCAAGGCTCATCCATGTTGTAGCACGTATTAGTACTTCATCCCTTTTTATGGCCAATTGACTCCATCCACACTTTATCCACTTTTTTACTATTAACAATCCGATGGACATTCTTGCATAAATTTTTGTGTGTTTCAAATTCTCTCATATCTATGTATATATATACTATGTGGCTGGGGATTGTTGGCTCATCTAGTAGCTCTATGTTTAGTCTTTTAAGGCAGCCCCCGGAATGTTTTCCAAATTGCACTATTTTGCATCCCGCTAGGAAAGTTTTTATTTTTTTCAACGAACATGGGCACCGCTGGCCTGTGATAAAAGGACAACCAGTGGTTTCTATCTTTTTTGCTTTGCTTTGCTTTGCTTTGCTTTGCAGGGAGAGAGGGGGAGTAACTGGAGGGGCGAAGCGTCCCTGGGCCCGGTTGCCCTGGTGACAGGGA